ACTATAACTCAAACCTATCAATTCTTCTATTATCTTTCTTATTCATTGCCTAACTTTCACATGCATGTGAGGCTATAGAAAATACCATCCCTTGGATCAGGCACACCTCATTCCTCATACTGACATTTTTGATCTTGAACACTTTAGAGATCTTGTGTGGCAGATTTGCCTAATGCAATACGTCTTTTGATTTTTTAACTGCTGCTTCCATGAGAGTTGATAATAGATCTAAGCAATATGAGGTTTTTTGATAACTTCAGTCTTTTCTCTATTATGTTGTGTATTGGTCCAGTGGTGAGAAATTTTGTTTGCAACCCATTCTGAAGGCTTTGGTCTTTAATCTTCATTAGTATGTATTTTAAGTCCTTTTTACTTTCAGCAAACCAGGTTGTATGATTTGCATATTACCAGTTAAGGAGTCTTCCTTCAATCCTGATGCCATGTTTTTCTTCAAATAATCCAGCTTCTCAGATTATTTGGTCAGCATACAGATTGAATAAGTATGGTTAAAGAATACAACCCTGGCACACACCTTTACTAATTTTAAACTATTCAGTGTCCGCTTGTTCTGTTCAAACAACTGCCTCTATGTACAGGTTCCTCATGATCATAATTAAGTGTTACGGAATACTCATTCTCTGGAATGTTGTCCACGGTATGGCATTATCCACACAGTTGAAAGCCTTTCCACAGTCAGCACAGGTAAACATCTTTCTGGTAATCTCTCCTTTCAGCCAAGATCCATCAGACCTCAGTAAAGATATCCCTAGTTCTACGTCCTCATCTGAATCCAACTGGGACTTCTGGCAGTTCCCTGTCAATGTACTGTTGCAATGTAATTTTGAATTATCTTTAGCAAAATTTTATTACGTGTGATATCAATGCCTGATGATTTCCACATTCCATTGGGTCACTTCTTTTTTGGAATGGGTGCCATTATGGATCTCTTCCATTCAATTGGTCAGTTAACTAACTTCCAAATTCTTGGCATAGATGAGTGCTTCCAATGTCTCATCAGTTTATTGAAAGATTTCAATTTGTATTCCATCAGTTCCCAAGAGTTATTCTTTGCCAATGCCTCTAGTGCACATCGGACTTTTTCCTTTAGTATCATTGGTTCTTGATCATATGATATCTCTTGAAATGGTTGATCATTGCCTTTTTTTTTTTTTTTAATTCATTGTATTCCATCTTCTTTTGATGCTTTCTGCATCATTTCATATTTTGCCCATAGAATCTTTCAGTATTTCAAGTTGAGGTTTGAATTTTTTGTTCAGTTTTATTAGCTTAAGAAATGAGGAGCATGCTCATCCCTTTTGGTTTTCTAACTCCAGCTCTCTGCACATTTTATAATAATACTTTGCCTTCTTGAGCTGAAATTTTGAAATTTTCTCTTCAGCTCTCTTACCTCTTAATTTCGTCCATTTTCTTTAGCGTCTCTATGTTGGAGAGTAAGTTTCAGAGTCTCCTCTGACATTCATTTTGGTCTTTTCAATCTTTCATGTATTCTTAATGACCTTTTGCTTTCTTATATGATATTCTTGATGTCATGCTACAATTCTTGTGGTCTTCTCTTATTGGTGTGTAGTGCTTTAATTGTGTTCTTGAGATCATAGTAAATTCAGGTGGGATTTGTTCAAGGTCATATTTTGACTTGTTTTAATTTTCTTCAGCTTCAGTTTGACCTTGCATATGAGCACTTGATAGTCTGTCCTGTCTGTCCTTAGCTTTGTTTTGACTGATGATATGGAGCTTTTTCACCATTCTTTCCCACAGATTCAGTCAATTTGATTTCTTTGTATCCCGTGTGGTGAGGTCCATGTGTATTTGTCTTTTATGTTGTTTAAAAACGGTATTTGTAATGAAGAAGTAATTGGTCTTTCAAAATTCTCTCATGTAATCTTCAGCATAATTTCTATCACAAAGACTGTATTTTCCAACTATTGATCCTTCCTCTTTGTTTCCAACTTTTGCATTCCAATCACCAGTAACTATCAGTACATTTTGATTTCTTTGAACGATTTCAGACTGAAGCATTGGTAGAATTTTTCAATTTTATGATCACTGGAGTTAGTGGTTGGTGGGTAAATTTGAATAATAATATAATGTTATTAATTGGTCTTCCTTATAGGCATATGGACGTTATCCTACCACAAACAGTATTATACTTTAAGAGAGGTATTTAAATGTTCTTTTTGATGATGAATACCATGCCAGTCCTTTTCAATTTATCACTCCTGACTTAGGAAGCAATATATTATCTGATTCAAAATGGTCTTTATTAGTTCATTTCAGCTCACTAATGCTAAGGTTATCAATATTTTTGCATTCCATCTTAATTGTAACCTCTTGCAATTTCCCTAGATTTATACTTCGTACATTCCATGTTCCGATTATTATTGGATGTTTACAGCTGTTTCTCCTCTTTTTGAGTTGTATCCCATCAGTAGACCAAGGTCCCAAAAGCTTTACTCTGTTCATGTTATTGCTGTCAACTCTACTTTGAGGTTTCAGTGCTTCTCCAGTTGTACTTGAGTGCCTTTCAACGTATGGAGCTCATATGCCAACACTGTATCACTATATATAAAAATTATGAATAGCACAGTATTATGGTGCTATTCATAATTTTTCAGCATTCATTCTCCTAGTGCTGCCTGAACAGTGTTCTACTGCTATTCTTGTGGTTTTCAGTGACTAAACCTTCAGAAGTAATTTGTCTTGCCTTCTTCCTAGTATGTCTTAATCTGGAAGTTCAAATGCATCCTGTTTACCATGTGTGAACCTGCTCATATTTAAAATATTGTTGGCAAATACTGTTGCTGGTAGAAGCACAGCCAGAGTCCTCCTTAGAAGCCAGGATGGCAAGACTTTATCTGTCATACTTCAGACATGTTATCAGGAGGGACAAGTCCTGGAGAAGGTCAGCATACTTAGTATAGTGGAGGGTCAGTGAAAAAGAGGAAGACCACCAATGAGACAGATTGACACAGTGGCGGCAGCAGTGGGCTCAAGCGTAGCAATGATTGTGATGGCTCAGGACCAGGCAGTATGCACAGTGTCGCTGTGTTGTGTATAATGTCACTATGAGTCAAAGCCAACTTGATGGCACCTAACAATTCCAGCAACAGGCTTCCAACACACAGCAACACACAAGCCATCACAATGTGACAAACTAGCAACAAGTGGTGGTAGACAAAGTACAAAATTTATAAAATGAAGAGTGAGATTTTTCTCTGGTTCTCCATATCCTCCATAACCTTCCTCTTTTGCACATCCTCTCCATATCTCTTCTGAGTCGTCACTACTCTAAGTGTCCTCTGTATGGTGGGGGTGGTGGTGGTGGTGGTGGTTATGTGCCATAGAGTTGGTTCTGCCTCATAGTGACCCTTTAGAGGGTTTTTGAGGCTGTCAATCTTTACGGGAACAGAAAGCCTCATCTTTCTCCTGCAGAACAGCTGGAAGTGTTGAACTGCTGACTGTGAGGTTAGCAGCCTGGCTTTTAACCACTATGCTACCAGAGCTCCTTGTTCCCTGTATATTCTTCCATGTATTTTCTGTTTGTGTGTGTGTGTGCATACATATAAGTGCATAGATAAAATACATACCCTTTAATGGAAGCATACGTGGGGCTATTGTTACTCGTATTATTCTGCAACTTGCTAGTTCACTTACCACTATAGCTAAGACATCTTTTTATACAGAGCATACATGTTCCTCATTCTTTTAAATGGCTATATAATTGTTTATGGAAGGACTCAGCTTAGTTTAATTTCTTATTGATGGGCTTTCATATTTATGCTTTGTTTATCTTTTTTCCTCGCTATTTTTGCTTACAGCAATGCTTCCTTCAGTCTTAGCCTGCCTCTTTGTATGCTTGAGTTATAAAATTGCTGGATCAAAGGGTGTATTTATTTTTAATTGTGAATTTTCTTTTCTTATGTTACATCATTGATACTCTGAACAACAATGTTTGATGACAGCTGTGTCCCCCACCCTTACTGATACTGGGTACTGGACACTTAAACGTCTATAGATTTCCTACTTAACCTTTTAAAAACAAATCTTGTTTTAGGGTGCATTTTCTTTTTGAGTAGACTTGGATTTCTTTCTTGTATTTTCTTTGGTGGACTGTCTGCCATTTTTTCTTGTTTTTTTCACCCTTTGTTTTCTCTAAAGCACATTTTGTTTCCTTTTGTCATTAAGCTCTTTGACATATTTTTCCAGTTTGTCATTTGATCTTTGATTTTGCTTTTGGCTGTCTTTTTATTTCTGTGTTGTTGTTAAGTGCCATCATGTCAGTTCTGACTCATAGCGACACTGTATAGAGTTTCTGAGGAGCAGCTGATGAGCTGAACCACTGACCTTGCAGTTCAAACTGACCTTGCTGTCCAGTTATTAACCCACAGTGCCACACCAGGACTCCATGATAAATGGTGGGCCGTGGGGTCAGTACCGACTCATAGTGCCCTGTACAGGGTTTCCGAGTCTGTAAATCTTTTCGGGAGCAAAAAGCCTCATCTTTCTCCCGCAGAACAGCTGGTAGTTTCGAACTGCTGATCTTGAGGTTAGCAGCCTGATTTGTAACCATTTCATGTAGTCACTTTTGACAGGGTTTTTTTTTCACAGGTACTTTCGATTTTAAATGGCACTCTTTAACCACTTATTTAAAGTAAGAAAATGGAGGTGATGGCATCTAGAATTTTTGTTCTAATTATGTTTGTTATTGTTGTTAAGTGCCATCGAGTCGATCCCGACCCACAGTAACCCTGTATAGGGGTTTCAAGGAGCAGCTAGTGAGCTTTAACCACTGACCTTGCAGTTCAGACACCTTTTCAGTCTGGTGTATTAACCCACAGTGCCACACCAGGATTCTGGATCTAAGAAATTGGTTCTCCTTTAATAATTGTTATTTTTAAAATGATCAGAAACTGCAATTTGTTTATAAATATTGAAATCTCTTTTATTAAAGGTTTTTATTTTGTTTTATTTTATTTTCACAGAATTTTAAGGCTATCTGCAGAGATTTGAAAAATGGCAATAAATGAAACTGTCAGCATCTTTAGTTCAGCATCCTTGGCTGTGGAGTATGTAGATTCGCATTTACCAGAGAATCCTCTGCAAGAACCATTTAAAAATGCTTGGAACTATATGTTAAATAATTACACAAAGTTCCAGATTGCAACATGGGGCTCCCTTATGGTTCATGAGGCTCTTTATTTCTTATTCTGTTTACCTGGATTTTTGTTTCAATTTATACCTTATATGAAAAAGTACAAAATTCAGAAGGTGAGTATAATGGCCTTTAAGTCAAGTATTATTGTTGTTGTTGAGTATTTTTCAGATGAGTATAACTTGGTTTTCAGAGACTCTATGTATAAGATGAGCTACATGTATAATTTAAAATTTTGTTGTTGTTATGTGCCATGGAGTCAGTTCCAACTCATAACGACCCTGTATAGGGTTTCCGAGGCTGTAAATCCTTATAGGAGCAGAAAGCCTCATCTTTCTCCCGCGGAACAGCTGGTAGTTTCGAACTGCTGACCAAGAGATTAGCAGCCCGATTCATAACCACTATGTTACCAGAGCTCCTTTTAAATTTTGTTAGGACACATAAAAAAATTTTTTTAAAGGTGAAAACTAGTTTTAATAAATTTTATTTAACCCGGTAAGTAAAAAAATATATATTATTGTTTAAACAGATAATCAGAAATTTACAAAGCAAAACAAAATATTTAGTGGTATATATTAATATTTTTTATATTTAGTGTTTTAACCCTTGTAGCTAATGGACTGTAATTCAGACTAGTCGTATATAAAATGTTTAGTTGCCATGTATTGCTAGTGGCTGCTACATTGGACAGTCCAGCCCTAGATCATTGTTGGAAATGTCTTAAGAATTGTTTGCTAAATTAAACTTAAAATAAATGGGACCCTTATCCTAATTGACTTCATAATGCTAACTGTTAAAGTAGCTGAAAGGGTAAGAATGGGGATTTGTGAATATTAATGTTGCAGTTTTACATCCCTGATGTTCTAGCAAATCAAAGTGTGTATTAATGTGATATAATCCTGACTAGGGCTGTGAATTTTCCATCTATATTCTTGGTGGTTGTGTAACATTCACGTCATCCCAAATAAGATGGTAATGTTCTTCATTTCTAGGTATTTGATTCAATGCACTAAATGTTTCTTGAGAGCCCACTATGCATGTGACAAAGTTTGAGGTATACACAATGCCCCTTCTCAGTTCATTTATAAACATAGGGAACATAAGCAAACTCTGCTAATGTGTAGGTGAATGAGATTGATATGATTTCCAGGAAAGAGTCTAGATTTGTTTATTATTGATCAACACTTGGTAAGCTGCTGATAATTTTAAAGACTTCCTGTTTTTCTCAAAATTCACACAATGCAGGTAGCAAGTATAGACATCAGAGTGTTTCATCTATGAGAAGCAATTTGTACTCAGTGAGGATGCATCTGGTGGGCAGTCAGTGCATACACTTCCTCTCTCCAATCTTATCAGCTTCATAGCTTGGCCCAGTGAGTCTTGTTTTAAGCAAGTGTTAATATTAATCCTCTCTTGTGATAGTCAAGGAGGTCAAGTGACTGTGGACACTGAGCCAAAGAAGGGAAGTACAAAGCAGGGGGAAAAGGGAAAGGATAAAATGGGTGGTATCCCAAAGGAGTGTCTCATGTCATCCTAAATTAAGGACATACAAGTTCTCTGAATTATTTTTATGAAAAGGTCTACTTTGATAATTCCATTTAAAAGTCTGTGTCTTTAGGGTGGTTCTGGCTGTCAGGTGTCACCTATTGGTTTATTTATACGGCTGATTCATGACAGAGCAGGCAAAGTATCGTTTTCCTTTTTCACTGTGCTTATATACATTCCATCCTGAAGTTGCCTCATTCGTCAGAGAAGGCCCTATTCTCAGTTAAGGGGGTATGAATGACTTTATAAAATAGAGTACAACAAAAGAAAGGACAAGCTGTAACCTTGTTGGTTACAATTAGTTTATAAGCATCAGATATTGAACAACTGGATAGTAATGGATTCAAGTCTATACTCAGCGTATCTTGTGAACTTCATAACAGTAAGAGCTATTTTTTGAACTTTTTTGATACTAAAATAAATTCTGATGAATGTTGTTAGGTGCCATTGTGTTGGTTCTTACTCAGAGTACTCTTATGCACAACAGAATGGAACACTGCCAGGTCCTACGCTAACCTCACAATTATTGTTACGCTTACGCCCATTACTGCTGTTGCTTGTGTCAATCCATCTCATTGGAGATCTCACCCTGTTTCACTGACCATCCATTTTACCAAGGATGATGTCCTTCTCACAGGACTGGTCCCTCCTGATGAGAGATCTCAGGGTAGATCCATAGAAAATCTCACAACATATAGGAATTTAAACGCAAACAAAAGAAACCAGTACATATTAATTAGAAGGTTATGTTCTTTGAAGGCAAATACCCAAAATAATAGAGTTTATAGGAAGTTACTGGTGGGGATGAAATAATATTAAAACCTTTTGCTTTTAAACAGAATAGGCAGTTTAACAGTTAATTGGTATGTGTGCTAGCTATGGGAAAATTGATAGGAATCAAAAAGTAGACCTTGTAGAATCTGTTTTCTGAAAAAAATAGCTATATACAGCTTAATTTTCCTAAATTTTTTTCTTAAAAATATTAGGTACTAAAAATATTCTTTCTGAAGTTGATGGCCCTAATAAAGATGTCAGAACCCAGTTATCTTTAAGGGAGTAAAATATTGTAAACTCTTATATTGCATTGTTGTTGTTAAGTGCTGTTGAGTCAGTTCTGACTCATAGTGATCCTGAATAGGATTTCTGAGCTGCTGGTGGGTTTGAACCACCAACCTTGTGGCTAGCAGTGCAGTGCTTATCCTACAGTGTCACATCAGGACTGTATTAGGTGTGATTTTCAAGATTATTCTTTAGCTAATATATGTACTTTAGCTAATTATATACACTTCGAACTGGTAATTTCTATAGCTTCACTGATGTCAGATCTTATCTAGGAGTTTCTGTGGAAAACAGTATCATTGTTGGCCCAAGCCGGATTCTTCAGTTTATTTTGTTTCCATTCACAGACTTAAGGCTATTTCAAAATGCAGTTAAAATGGAGCAGTTATCAGTTTGGAGATCTAGATTTTAGTTGGCTTAGTTTTGCTAATAACTGCCCGTGTGATCCTGGTGGTTAACCTCTTTAGACCTCTGTTGATAAACACCAGTGCTTATCAGTGGTTATGTGCAAGGGATGGAGTTGGTTCCAACACATAGCTACCCTGTATAGGGTTTCTGAGGCTATAAATCTTTACAGGAGCAGAAAGCCTCATCGTTGTCCTGTGTAACAGCTGGTAGTTTTGAACCACTGAACTTGAGGTTAGCAGCCCAACTTGTAACCACTACGCTATCAGATCTCCTTTTCTATATAGCTAGTTCAGAATTTAAAAAAAGAAGGCAGTTTTTTGAATTTTTACTTAAGACCATTTAAAACCAAATGATACTGCTATTTGTCACCACTATCTTTTCTTAAGGGAGCATAATGGTGGCTCCATATAATAAGCACTGAACTGCAAACAAGGTCCACCATGGTTCAAGCCTGCCATCTGCTCATGGGAGAAAGATGAGGCTTTCTGCTCCCACAAAGATTTAAAGCCTTGGAAACTCCATATATGGTCACTGTGAGTCTTATCACCAAAAAAGTGTAAATGTAGCCCTTTAAGTTGTATGAACTTAGTTTTATGATGTGGCTTACTAGACAAATTCCAGTGAGGTTTTATGAGCACCTTACTTATCTCATTTTGACATGGGTCTGTGAACTGCATCTTCTGTAAGTAATGATCACCATCCTTTGGAAGCCACTGGACACATTTCTGAAGTTCTTCAGCTCAGTAAGTTGCAGTATATGAACAAAATATTCCTGTTGCAGCATGTGAACAGAAATATACTTAATTGCTTGGAATTAATGCCACTAAATGACTAGAAGCATCTATTTACCGCTGTAATAAAAACTTCCCATTTTAATGTGCACAGCTGCTTCAAAACTTGAGGGGCACCCAACTATAGTCTTACCATTTGTTTTTTTCAGTAAAAGATGTGAATGATGTGTGGACAGCAAAGATTATAGAGTACCTTGTTATGTATTACTTCTTTGATTTGTTTGAAAATCTTTATACTTGGGTGTCTATTAAGTTTCTTCATCATCTTAAATTAGTGATAATAGTTGTCAAGATTATAGAAGAGAAGGTTGTTGTGATGTCTGGACCTTAGTGTAATAATTATAATCCCATAAAACAATAAATAAAGATTAGGAAATTACTTTCTAATTGTCAAGTTGAACTACTGATAGCAGAGGCTAACATTATATATTTTGGTTTTTCTCCACAGGATAAGCCAGAATCATTGGAAAACCAGTGGAAATGTTTTAAAGTTCTTCTATTTAATCACTTTTGTATCCAGCTGCCTTTGATTTGTGGAACCTATTATTTTACAGAGTATTTTAATATTCCTTATGATTGGGAAAGAATGCCAAGATGGTATGAAAATAAAACTTTGATTTTTATACTCAGTTGTAGTTTATTACTCAGAGTACTTAAATATAATCAGAAACCAATTGATCATTGCAGTAGCCAGTTACAATAAGAGTAACAGTGAACCAATATGCAGTCAAGTTGATCTGACTCATGGTGATTCTGTCTGTCACAGTAGAACTGTGCTCCTGCTCTGCATGGGTCTTAATGGCCCGGTTTTCAGAAGTTGACTGCCTTTCTTCTCAGGCTACTAATTTTTCAGTTAGCCATGGACTCCAATTAAAATATGTGTAATGCCATTTGATGTAAACTTTGGAAATAAATGAAATGTACAAAAGTAAACCATGTAGAAACTTAGTTTCCATTTTTCTATCTCCTAATGAGGAGTTTTTAGCATCAGAAATTTCCATAGCATCTGTTTTATTATTGTATATGCTTATCTTGAACAGAAGAGAAGTGTTAAAAATACTAAGGAAAAAGATTAAATTTCAAGTCTAAAATGAAAGAATAATTTGTCAGATGTATAAAAATTGTGCCATATAAACACAAAGTATATTATCTGAACGCAAGTATTTGTGTTCAAATAACGTATTCCGTTCTTCCTTTTTTTACTTGAGTAGGAATATACCAATTTACAGAGATTTTTCTATGTAATATATAGTCAACATATGAGAGTATTTCTGACTATGTATTTGTATATACAATAGTATTTTTCCCATAATACCTAAGTTGTGTTTTTCTTTTTCATGGAAAAAAGTGATTATTAATCTTAGTTTAGGAGTCCTGATGTGGTGCTGTGGCTTAATGTGCCAGACTGCAAAGCCGTTTGAACTGCAAGGTCAGCGGTTCAAGCTCACCAGCTGCTCCTTGGAAACCCTATACAAGGTTGCTATGGGTCATAATCCACTCGACAGAACTTAACAACAACAACAATCTTAGTTTAAGCCTTTTGTCAGTTATGAGAGGACATCACAGAGTTCATGGGAAAATGCTATTATCTTTTCTATTTTTTCATGAAGTTTTTAAAAACCCCTTTTATGTTTATTTTTCCCTGTGAGTTTGGGATTTTGTCTCTCTCATCTTTAATTTCATACCTGTGAGTTTTTGTCAAAAGGAATTAGAATTGATACTGTATTCAAGTTGTTTTAAGAATAGATTAATCACTATATCCAGTTAGGTCAAGTAAATAGATGGGTACTTGGTTTTATGTAATGTCTCAAGCTGTGTTCTCAAGTAAGAGTTTAAATTGTTTATGTGAAGATCATTTCTTATTCAGTATAGTATTTTCACCTTAAAGGTATATGCTTTTGCTAAGATGCTTTGGCTGTGCTGTGATTGAGGATACGTGGCACTACTTCCTGCATAGACTCTTACACCATAAAAGCATATATAAGTATATTCATAAAGTTCATCATGAGTTTCAGGTATGTTAGAATTATACTTAATATGTCTTTTAATTAAACACAGAATGACTTTTTTGTTGTGTAAGCCTTGAAAAGAAAATGTTGGGGATGTTTTCATTTCCTTTTCCATTGGCATGATTACTAAGAACATAATGCATATGGATACACAATTGGTTCCACAGATTTTCTTTAGTTTCTAAATTTCTTGGTAAACTGAGAACTTAAAAACAAAACATTATATGAAGCATTTCGTTTTTCTCATTTTTGTGACCAGAGCAATATCCTGACACAATTGGATCTGCCTGACAACTTGATAGTATCTGTGGTGATGCCAGAGCTGTTCAAATCGGACTTAAACAACAGCCCTTTCATGTTTAAACTTCTGAAATATTTACCACACTTTCACTGCATTATCGACTCCCATCAAAGGAATTTTTAGATTTTATTAAACTGCCTTGCTTTGGCTTATTAAGAATTACTATGATTTTATATGTATGGCTAGATATATTGTTATATGCATCTTATATGTATATTGTTACATATGTTGTTACATGTATTTTATAAAATGGTATTATTAAGTATCAGAAACTATATTAAAAAGTTGTTATTTGTTTGTTTTAGGCTCCATTTGGAATGGAGGCTGAATATGCACATCCTGCAGAAACCTTAATTCTTGGAACTGGATTTTTCATTGGAATCGTGCTTTTATGTGATCATGTAATTCTTCTTTGGGCATGGGTGACCTTTCGTTTGATGGAAACTATTGATGTACATAGGTGAGTTATGGTTTCTAGTCAGGGGATTGTTTTTGCTAAGTACCATTGAGTCTATTCCAGCTCATAGCAATACTATATAGGATTTCCAAGGAGGCTGGTGGATTTGAACTGCTAACCTTAGTGGTTAATAGTCCAGTAGTTATCCTAGAGCATCAGGTATCATAAAAAACTGTATTTTCATTATCATAGATTTATCTGTGTAGACTAGTGTTGTTGTTGTTGTTAAGTGCCGTTGAGTCGGTTCTGACCCATAGCGACCCTGTATAGGGTTTCCGAGGAGCAGCTGGTGAGCTTGAACCGCCAACCTTGCAGTTCAGACAGCTTTGCATTCTGGCGCATTAAGCCACAGTGCCACACCAGGACTCCTAGGAGAAGTTACTTTCGTTACGTTATTTTTTAAAAGACAAATCATTGGATAAAAGGTCAAGTAATAGAGACTACAAAAGACTTTTGCTTTATCTATGCTGTGATCATTTTAAAAGAGAATATATTCATGTATTTATTTGAGTAAGTAAAGTTTTAATAGGTTCTGTCAAACTGTCCTCCAAAAGGTTCCCTACTTAAACATTTTAATGTTTTCCCTTTCCCCAACATTTTTCACACATAGATATCACACTCTTTTAAATGTGTGTCAATAACAGGAAAAAAGAGATTTCAGTTTTTCGATCTGTATTTTCTCTGAGACTAATGAGACTAAGCATTTCTACAACTGTTTAATGACTAACGTTACTTTGTCTTCTTTAAGTTATCCTTTTCTAGTCTTGGCTCATTTTTTTGTTAAGATTATATGTCTTTTTTTCTCTTGGTTATATAAGTTTTGTTTGCTTTATTTATGTTATAAATATTTTCCTCCTGTCATTTGAATTTTAACTCTTAGTGATTTGTCCATGGTACTAAACTTTAAAATTTTCATGTAGTCATATCTATCAGTTATTTCTTTTCAGACTTTTGGATTTCATGCTTTGCTTAGAAAGGCCTTTCCTGAAAGATGAATGTTCAAATATATCAATAACCAAAATATATTTTCATTTTTTAAAAAATTTAGCTGAATACCCTAATTCATGCTTTTTATTATAGGCTATTATATACCATCGAGTTTGTTCTGACACGTAGAGATACTGTGTAGAGTTTCTGAGGCTGTGAATCTTTATGGCAGCAGACTGGTAGACTGAAACCACCAACCTTGAGGTTAACAGCCCAATACATAACCTACTGTGCCATAAGGGCTCTTAATTCATGCTTAGTCAGTTTCTTTATCCTTCATTAATGAGTCTAAGTCTCTCTTTTAAGAAAAAAAATATTGAAACATTGAACTGTCACTGAAAAAGACTATTTTTTATTTTTCCTAATAATTTTTATGTTAATGACAAAAACACTGACCCTCAATATGCACATATTTGAGATGTTTCTTTTCTGTTTATTGGAAGACTTTTTGTACCATGTTGTTTCTATGTAATGACTTTTTAAATGTCTAATATCATAATTGTTTTATTATTTAAAAATTATTTTATGCTCCTTGCATTTGACTTCGGACTTATTATTCCCTTGAAGACATATTATAAGAATTATTTTAAACCACCAAAATAACAAGGTTAGTGTTTGTAGTCTTAAGCAGAGAGTATTCTTTTGCAAATTGCTTATAACTAACCTATTAAAATTTTCCTTTCCTTCCATATTTTGCTTCCTCTCTTTCTCTCTCCCTCCCAGCTCTACAAAGGGAGGGAAGGACTAGAGAGATTCAGACTGCTTTTGTGCTGACATAACTGAGTATCAGATTTTGGATATGCTGTCAGAAATTTGTTGTTGTTCTTGTTAAGTGCTTTTAAGTTGGTTCTGACTCAAAGTCATAGCAACCTTGCATAGGGTTTCCAAGGCCGTGAAACTTTATGGGAGCAGAAAGCCTCATCTTTCTCCTGAGGAGCAGCTAGTAGATGCAAACTACTGACTTTGAGAGTACCAGCCCAGCTTGTAATCTACTACAGTAGATTAGGGCAGTCAGAAATAAAGGAGTGTAAATGGGATTCCTTTTGAAATTATATATGAGGGTGAGTCACAAATTATCACACTGATTATATTGAAACACCCATCCACATCCACAGCTGATGACAATATTGAGCATGCCCATGAAATGATTCTATTGAATAGATGAATTACATGGCAAATCATTTGCAAATCAGCCATAGCTCTGCCTATGACATAATCCACGACAGACTTGGGTTTTGATAGGTTTGTGCAAAATGTATACTGAAACAACTCACAGAACAGTATAAACAGAAACATTTGGTCATCTGTGAACAAAATTTTGACCAATAATTGAACGAAGGTGAAAGATTCATTTAAAAAATCATTATTGGTGATTGGACATGGATTCATCACTACAAGACTGAGAGTAAACGGCAGAATGTGGAATGAAACCAACCTAATTCACCAACCAAAAAAAGGTTCAAAAGTCAACTATCA